ACTATGCTACACCTACTTTGGTCTGGCGCTGAAGATGGCGATCCAGAATGGTATGCACCGGAAGTATACGGGGGAAGGACTATCGCCGCGTATGATTGAGATTCGAAACCGTGTGTTTTGGACTGCGTACACGATAGAGAAGTAGGTTATATGGCAGCCCCCTTGATTTCATCCGTGCTTACGATTTTTAGGCGTGTCAGCATTCTTCACGGAAGACCAGTGTCCTTGTTAGACGCAGACGTCGATGCCCCTTTTCCCACTGACTTTCAGGGCTTGACGCCATCGGGACATGTTTCAAACGATACGAACATGGTGACACTTATCAAGCTAACCCTCAAACTCGGAGAAGTGGCGAATGAAATGTATGTTCTGACTCCAAAGGGTACTTGAATATTGCTAACGCTAGTAGATCCGTCCTTCGCAAGTCCCGAAAGAACCAGCAACAAGATTGCTTGGAGAGGCTCTTGAATCTGCGGAAGAACCTAGTCGACTGGTGGGGAACGCTGCCCGAGGAAACCAACTGCAGGGATCTCAACCCAGCAGGGCCACTATTCCGCTCCAACGTGCACTTGAAGCTCGACTATTGTCTAACGCGTATCTTCCTGGGACGACCATTCCTCTTCAGCACCAACCGGGCTGTCAGCTCAGCCACATTACCGGGTGCTCCGGTCAAGACACCATCAGGTCCCGCGAAGAACCGTTCCACATTGATTACGGATTGTGTAGAAGCCGCTCTCGAGATCATCGACCTATGTCGGCTCCTTCGTGACGAGCGCGGTCTTGCACGTGCATCATTTACCGAGTTCAGCTCGTGTCGCGCTGCTTTACTCGTCATTCTAGCTCAAAGCTTGACCAAACGCACCGAGCGCCTACGCGAAGCCTTAGACAAGGGTATGGCACTGATCAAGATCATGTCCATGGGAGTCGGCTCTGCCCGCGCTGCAGTAAGCGTCATCGAGACCCTGGAGCGAGCGATCCGTCGTCTCGAAGAATACAGCCAGACCCAACCCCAAGGCAGTACCGGTGTCATCGAATCAGCATACGACCGATTCAAGAACTGGGAAATGCTATGGAAGACCGGGCCCATCTCCCCGGAAATCGTCCCATTCCAAGAGCAGCAATATCATCATACTAGCAACGGACTCGCCCCCGTTATGACCCCTATGACGGGTGGTGCATCCACTGCGAACGAGCCCGTGGAAGCCGATGTGGGCAGCGCGAGTCTTCCCGACTCATCGGAGTTTTCTGTTTCACATCCTTTATCGCAGATGCCGCACTTTGGCCTCGATCACTTTGTTTCTAATCTGCCCCAGGAGTTGGGAGAGTTTACTGCCATCCCTTGTTTTGAACCTGACGGCCAGCCGAGCCTTTCTGGGGAGATGAAATCGGCGGATACGCGGTGGATGAACTTCATGAATGATTAATTGCCTTAAGGCAAGTCGACTTTCGTTGTGATTGATTTCAGCGTTTCGGTTTGACTTTTCACGGCTGTTGTGTTGTGTTGCGTTGTTTATATTGTTGATCCGTCTGTAAGCACCGGATTTGAGTTTCAAGATACCTAGACAGTATGTATATATTGTTTCACAACTACTAGTGGAGATAGCAGGACAATAAATATTCCAAATATTTTCAACCATGATGATGATATAATATCTACAAATGCTCTACATACAGAAATAGGATATCTCCCACTAATCAAACGTAACCTTCTTACCCTGGAAAGCAGCAGTAGCCTTCTGCTCCTTCGCCTTCCTGGCCGCCTCCCACGACGGATGCAACGGCTTATTATCCTCCGGCTTCTTCGCTGGCGGTCCACCACGCTGCGGCCGTCCAAACTGCTGGTTCTGCTGCTGCGGTCTCCCCCAACCCTGGTGCTGCCCACCACCGCGTCCCCACCGCTCACCCCCATCAGTCGCACCCCGCCTCACATCCCACCCACTATCGCGTCCTCCTCCCTTCCGCTTATTCTTCTCCTGCTTAACATGATTCGCCCCAGATCCGTACTTCTTCTCCCACAGCGCCCGACGCGCCTGCTGTCCCATGCGGTTCTTGCGTCGCGGGGGCTCGTTCGCTGCCGCGCCGTCTTCTGCCTCATCTTCGGATCCGGACCAGTATCCGCCCATTGTGAGTGAGGGGAGGAAGGTCGTGCTGGTCGCGGGCGTCGAGGACGCTTTGCTGGTTGCTTTGGGCTTTTTGGTGGGTGGGGAGGAGGGAGACGGGGAGCGCGAGATGGAGATGTGTTGATCGTCGTCTGACTCTTCCTCCTCCTCATCCTCCTCCTCCTCCTCTTCTTCTTCTTCTACGTCGCTGATCTCGTTGGGATCGAGACCTTCATCGCCTTCAGATCCGTCTTCGTTCTCGTCGCCGGAATCGGGCGCCAGTCGCGCGTCGAATTGTGCGTAGTCGATGCTCTCTGCGTCCGAGCCGGCGTCGGACATGTTGATGTCTTCGTCGCCGCTTGGTGAGGCGGAGGGGTCAGCGGATGCGCTTGTCCGAGCTGTCTCGGCCTCGGCCTTCTTCTTGCTGCTGCTGCTCTTCTCTTCCTTGGAGGATTTCTTTGCATCCTTCTTCTTCCCATCCGCTGGCTTATCCTCAATGCCCAATAACTTGCGTATCCCCTCCATAATCCCCGGAAAGACATTCTTCACCGGCGTGGACTTGTACAACCGTGCCGTGACGTTCGCTTCAGCCGTACTTTTCGGCCCCTCCGCGGATAACTTCTTCTTGTCTTTGAATTGGATGAAGAGCGGCGACTCGGCGATGCGTTTCGTCTTGAGGAGTTGCTTGAAGAGGTATTTTTCGGCGGTGGCGTGGGGGTCCAGTGTCTATTATCAATTTTAATTCGGATGTTCAGTAAAGTAAAGATCTTGAAAAGGGAGAGAGGGGCTTTACCTTAACAACCTGAATCTCCTCCGCAATCCGACTCAACGTCCCCTCTTTCTTCTCACCCTCTTCCTTTTGCGCCGTCTTCTCCCTCCGTCCGAGCTTCTGTCGCTCGAACCCCCGCGCTACCTTGAGCGCCTTGGATAGCGTCATCACGCCATATTCGAATTTCTGGAATAGTCGGGTTACTTGCAAAGATTGGCTCCGGTCGTGCGGTGTGTATGGCGATTCGGAGAAGTCTGCGAAGTTGCGCTTCCCCATTTTGCTCGGTTGCTTTCAAGTCTTGAGGGTTGTGAGGATGGTGTATGTATCGTTGGATTGTGTAGTTGGTTTATATCGGTAATGAGGGCAAGGTGCGGGGATATATTCTGGTTTATGGCTTGCAATGTTGATTTGAAGATCAGGATAGATTAAGATGGTTTTTCGGGTCAGGGAACTTTTTCTGCCGGTCGGAGGACAGGGCGGTGCCAAGCGATGGAATGGGATGGCTTCGCCGCCTTTTGGTTTTGCTGGACGGGGCGTTTTGCCGTTTTGGGTGTCTTATTTTTGGGGCATGGTTATTGGTCCGTTTCACGGTGGATGATTTCATGGGGTTTGTTCATTTTAGCACTCGATATTGGGTGTATTTGGGTCAATTGGGTGTGGATGTAGTACTCTACGGAAATCTTGATGAGAAAGTTTTCGAACTGTGTGCAATGTAAGGATATAATTTCATAATCTACGATATCATAGCGCGAGTCAACCTACATTTGAGAAATGGCGACCCACGTTAGAAGTTTGCGCGAAACCAACGTCGAATTCAACACACGGTATGTACATACAGAACCAGTAAGGAAAGATAATACGATTACATCTCCTCTATTTCTTTTCCTCCTCCTTCGGCTCCGGCTTGGGGGTGGGAAGCTTGAACTATATCATCGATTAGCATCATCCTCGTCATCATAAAGGTTGATATCAACATACCGACTCAGGAGTTCTGTCAGTACCCGCACTGACAGGCTCCCAGGCAGCAGTACCACCCTCGAAGTTCCGGAACGCCTGCGTAAGTTCCAGAGGCTCAATGACAATGCGCTTCTTCTCCTCACAGTAACGCAGCTCCGTGTATCCAGTCAAGGGGAAGTCCTTGCGCAGCGGGTGACCATCGAAACCATAGTCGGTCATGATACGGCGCAGATCGGGATGGCCGGTGAAGAAGACACCGAACATGTCGTACACCTCACGCTCGTACCACAGAGCACCCTCGAACAGACCGGTAACACTGGGCACGGGGCTGGCCTCGTCGGCGTAGGTCTTGACACGGATACGCGAGTTGTAGCGCACACTGAGCATGTTGTAGACGACCTCGAAGCGCTGGTCGCGGGTGGGGAAGTCGACACCGGTGATGTCCGAGATCTGGGTGTATTCGGCCGCGGTGTGGTATTTCAGGAAGGTCATGGTGGGGATCAAGCCGGAGGGAGGGACGTAGATGCAGAGCTCATCCTTCCAGACGGAGAACTGCTGGACGTGCTTGGGCAGGCACGACATGATGTACTGGCCGTACTTGTGCAGACTGTCCGCCTTGTCCTGGTACTTGTCGGCCGGGTTGATGACGGGGGCGCGGAGAGGACCAGAGGCTAAAGATTATGTTAGTGGTGCACATCCTGCGAGATCAGTGGTCGAATCCGGGTGCCATTGGACATACGGGGACGCTGGGCCTGGCGCATGTTGGGAACATCCTCTGAGATAGGCGCGGTCGAGGCCTGAGTGGCCTTCAGAGCGGTCGTAGTGAAGGTACGGGTCGACCGGACGGCGGTGGCCAGGGAGCGGCCAGATCCCAGCCGCATCAAGGAGCGAGCAGAGGCCATGATGACGGACAATTGCGGGTGTGAGACGACGGGGAAGGTGGAGGGAGGGGAGAGCAGCGGAGGTTCCTCATCCAAGGAGCTTTTGCCGGTCCAGGCGAAGTTGTCGCGGTCACGTGAGAACTGCAAGTTTGGCTGGCGGAGATGACATAAGCGGCGCGAACAGCAACACATGTATGCCCCAGGCTGCAAGGGAAGTCAAACAGTGCAAACCCGCGCAAACCCCATCAATCAAAGCTTCACTTCTCTTTCTCGCTCTTCGCCTCCAACTCTCCCTCTTCCTTTGCGTCTGTGTCCCTCCGTGCTCCTTCTTCTCGTCCTCCTCACCTTTACCCCACGTTTCGTCGATCTACCATCTTCTTCCTCCCTCGGACTCTTCTTTACGTCCCTTCTCCTATCTTCCTCTCCTGTCTCGTTTGACGTTCTTTTTTTTCTACCCGCTTTTCCTCGCCCTCTACCTGCTCCCCCCCTTCCGCCCGGGTTTGGTTGATGGGTGTTAGTCTTGGACTGTGATCGCCGTCTTGTCCAGTCGTCGTACCGTTGCACAGCTTCGTCACTCACAATGTCAAGTCGCCAACAGATTGACTCCGTCATCGATGATGACGACGAGTTCTGGTGCGTCCGCTTCCCACTTTTCCTACCCGTCGGGTTGTCCTATGACTGGTCCGTTGGGCTGACATCTTCGTCTTCTTTAGCCCCCTTTGCATCGAAGAATTCGATCTTTCGGATAAGAACTTCAAGCCTTGCCCCTGTGGGTATCAGGTACGCATCCTTCTCGCCTTGTACTCCCTCGCGAATCAACGGCCCGATCAGGAGATCGCTCGCGTCGTATGCGATCCGGACCGTCGCTAACAGACCCCTCCAGATTTGTCAATTCTGCTACAACAACATCAAAACCCACAGCGAAGAAGGCCGGTGCCCCAACTGCCGACGGGTCTACGATGAGAGCACCATACAATACAAGGTTCCCGATGCCGACGAGTATGTGGTCACTCCTCGCTCTTGTTCCCACTGTCCCTTCCCGCGTCTTGGCGCTAACATCGCAACCCGCAATTTTAGATTCAAAGCCGACCTGGCCTTGAAACATCGCAAGGCTGCCGCAGCGAAGAAGAAGGAGGCTGAGAAACGTGAAATCGAGGCTTCCAGTCGCAAGAATCTTGCCGGTGTCCGCGTCGTCCAGAAGAACCTGGTTTACGTGATCGGGCTCAACCCCACAATACGTGACGAGAACCAACTCCTCCTGACTTTGCGCGGTCGAGACTACTTCGGTCAATACGGTGACATCGAGAAGATCGTTGTGAGCAAGGCAAAGCCTGGTGGCAACCCGAACCAGGGCATTGGTGTCTACGTCACTTACGCCAGGAAGGCCGACGCAGCCACTTGCATAGCAGCTGTGGATGGGTCAGCCAACGGTGACCGGGTGCTACGGTAGGTCGATTCGTCTACCTTCTGATGTTCTGTTCACAAAGCAACGTACTGACCGCTCTAGTGCCCAATATGGTACGACCAAGTATTGTTCTTCCTTCCTGCGTAACGAGCAATGTCATAATCGAAACTGCACCTTCCTGCATGAGACTGGTGAGGACAGCGACAGTTACAGCCGGCAGGATCTCTCTTCGATGAACACCTTGTCGAGTCAGCGTATCAACGGTGTCCCCAGCGGTCCCACCCACTCGATTCCTCCGCACGTTGCCCGGTCTTCCGCTCAACCGATTTCGCAACCAATGCGCCGTCAGCCTAGTAGGGATGACGCTGCTGGTAGCCGGCCACCTGATGGGTCTGCCCTGCCATCGTCGGCAAGTTGGGCGAACAAGGACGCCGTGCTCAGCAGGACGAGACGAGCAAGTTTGACCGGCAGCCAGGCCTCGCAAAGTCCCCGACCCGCCATCGCCACGGTGTCGCCCGCGGTGGAGGAGGCGAAACGCGTGGAGAAGCAGTCTACGAATGCGCAAGAGCGTGCTCAGGCACAGGCTCAGGTACAGGCCCAAGCCCAAGCCCAGGCCCAGGCCCAGGCCCAAGCTCAAGCTCAAGCTCAGGCACAGGCGCAGGTGCAAGCACAACCGTCCCCCTCTCCTGAAGCACGATCCTCGCCGTCCAGTTCCCCGCCGACTGTTCAGACGCCACCCAAGCCGGAGACGCCTCTGTTGGATAACTTGGTCAAGGCTGTCAACTCTCCAGACTTCAAGTTCATTTTCTCGGCGGCTGGTCTGCCTGCGGAGGAGGTTGCCCTTATTGAGAACCACCCTTCATTCATCGATCCTTATGGTGGTGTGAAACGCCGAGCTATGCGTGAGAAGGCGGAGCAGGAGCGTGTCCGGCGGGAGCAGGAGCTACTGCAGTCAGCTGCTGCGGAAGAAGAGAGCCGTGAGAGCGGAAGCCTGCAGCTCGGTGGCGAGCCGGATGACGCAGTGCCTCCGAGAGGCCGTAGTGGTCGCGAATCTCATGGTGCTATTCAACCTCCCTCCCAGCAGGGCACGACGACAAACTCCGCGGTTGGCTCCCCCGTCTCGGCAACCAGTCACCAGTTCCAGCAGCTTAACCTGGCAGGCCGTAGCTTGACCCCTCTGCAGCAACAGCAGTTGCTTCTCTTGAAGTCTGCCGGCAACCAACAGGCTGGCCTGGTTGATCAGCTGCAGGGTGGACTCAACTCCGCTGCTCTTGACCAAGCAGCTCAGGTCCGTCAGGGTCTACTCCAGAGCCAGATGGCACAGTTCAATGCTCTGCAGGCTCAAAGTCGCCAGAACTCTCGTTTCACCTTCGCCAATGAGGCCAATGCCAAGAACATTCCTAATGTGCGCATGTTGAGCCAAATGCAGGCTGGTACTCCTAACCCGCTCGCAGCCCCTAGTCCTCAACATGGTCTTGCTGGCAACTACTTCACTAGTGGCGTGCAGGGTCCACCCCCCGGGTTGAAGACGGCGGGTACTCCGCCTATCAGCGGCGGCGGCATGTTTGCACAGGGTCACGGTTTCACAACGAATGCCAATGTCGGTTTGGGATCCAATCTCGGAAAGCAAGAAGCCAATCCAGAGTTGATGCGTGAGCTGCTGAGAGGCCGCAGTAGCGCAAATGCCGGTGGTTTGCAGGGTCAAGAGGCCGCTAAGCGTGAGTTCATGTTTCCTTTCCTCCAACAGCACCAAACTCCCCCTCCCCTGACTCCCGGCAATGGCCTTCTCAGCTCTTTCTATGGTGCTCAGGCGGGAAATTATTCCGAGTCTGGTCCACAGAAGCAGAAGAAGAAGGGGAAGAAGCACAGACACGCTAACACTTCCTCCGGTGGAGGCGGTGTAGTAGATCTTGCGGACCCGAGCATCCTACAGGCGAGGATGCACCAGGTTGGTGCGAATGCTGCCGCCGCCGCTGCTGCTGGGCAGGCGTTGTACGGGAGTCAGGGTCAAGGTGGGTACAATCAGGCCATGATGTATGGCAGCGGCTTCAACCGCTGGTGATTGTTTGCCCCCCTTTCTCATAATTCATTAATAACCCTCCCTCGCCCTTCACTTCTATCCCTGTTGTTTATGATGACTACCCTTTCTGCATTTTGTTTCTTTTTGCCCATGCTTCTTTTTCTGTCTCCCTTTTTATTTGATGACATGATATCATATTTCTCTAGATGGGCGTGGGATATGATTCTTATGTTTCAGTTTTCCGGACTCATTGATTCGATGTTGAAAACTTTGCGACATATTTCCACTCTGCAACGAAAGCATTAAGCAAACGGCTCTTGAAAACAACAAGAATTCGGGCTAGGCGTGCCTTTGGCGTTATCTTCATGATTGTTCTTTTTTGATTTCATGTTTCTTTGTTGTGCCACGTCATGTTTCTTTTTTGCGTGTTGTCTCCGGCTTCCGTGTGGATGGGAGGCGTCCTTGCACTTTATGGGCACATCGTGTCTTCTAGGTCCACTGCGCTTTGGTGGCTGTCGTATACTTTGTTCTTTTGCATCCAAGCTGGGTTGATCTATCAGCATCTTGGTGGCCCATTCGGTCTGGTCATGGCTTTATGTACGTTAACCTCCCTGCCCTGGCTTTCGATAAACACGAGCAGGGCCCTCTATGCGAAACCAATTTCTCACAATTATTGTTCTATAGACAATATGCCTTGTGTGTCCGTCTGGTTGCATCGGCCGGGACATTTGTGTAATTAATATGCCTGCCCTTCCGTACCTTTGTCGTCTCGTTTTGTTTCTAGGAGTCTACTGGCACGCCCTTTTTCTATCCGTTTCTGCTTGTGTCGTTGGGAGGGGTTCCTTTGCGTTATTCTTGTCATCCGCCTCACTCACACATCGTCTTGCAGACGTTAAGAAGCTAACAGCGCTTCTAGTGGACGAAGAATTTCCTCCTCTTGGAGCTCAGCCAAAGGACAAGCGTCCGGTTGACAGCTTTGGCTATCTCGTGCGCTCGCATTTCTCCAGTGACTCGCAAAGCTCGGCCCGTGCTGGAACCCCTACCCTGCCTCCGGGACTTCCTCTACCACACGCTCATCCCGCATCTGCCTTGTTTCAAAGTCCACTCAATCCATCCAGTCCGGTCTCGTCGCCATCTGTGCCGCCAGGTCTTAATCCGCCTTTCCATAGGCTAGGCACGCCGGGCCAAGGACTACAGGAAGGCTCTCGCCAGGCCTCTCCGGACTTGAAGGACACTCCTGACAATGCCCCTACCTCAAGTCGCGTCAAGAATGCGTCCGAAATATCACTCGGTTCTCCTGTGCCAAAGTCAGCCAACAAGGCTCGCGCCCAGCAGAAAGGAGATTTGACGGTCGCTGCTGATAGGAAAGCTGGCCCTTCGAAGGCTGGAGACAACAATGAGAAAACCTCGGCACCTACGGGCAAAGTCAAGCCCATAAAGCTGGAGCTTCCCTTGGGTACTTCTCAGTCTCATGATGCTCCAAAGCCCGATACACCAAGCCAATCCCATGCTCATGGCCCGGTGCCCACTTCGACGATTGGTTCCCGTCCGAATACACCTTTGACTGGGGTCTCCCGTGTTTCCGACTCGTCCGCTCCCCGCCAACCTCGAGTTCTCCGTGTGGTTGACACGCCGAAGACTGAAACTCCGCCGCCCCCATCTGCCACCCAGTCTGTCGCGTCCATACCTGCAGCAACAAAAGCGCGTTCCAGACGGCCAAGTATCTCGTCGCTCAGCAGGCCCGATACGCCCGGCGACCTGGGTTCGGAAGCCGATCTTTACACTTCGGCGTCCGTGTCCCGTGCTAACTCTCCTCCCGCTTCGTCCAGAATTGGCTCTGCACCTGTCCGGGCGATGACCAAGAGCCAGGCTAAAAAGGAACGGCGACAGAAGGCCAAGGAACTGGAAGCCAAGAAACAAGAGGCCACTGCCGTGGTCGAGGAACCAGTGCAGGCCCCGATCATCGGTCGAAAGCGCAAGACCAAGAAGACTCCTGTTAGCTCGAACGACTCGCCAGCTACAGCTCCGGATAATACTGAGATTGGAAAGTCTGCCAACTCCGCAGGCTCCGATAGCAATGAGAAGACTAGCCAGCGGACAGAAGCGGCCAAGAAGAACAAATCGAATGACAAGGCTACGAATGACTCCAAGGCAACTGTTACCGAGGAGAAGGCCACTGCTGAACAGAAGGCACCTGCTGAAGCATGGCGTTCTAAGAACACGGTCGAGCAGCTGATGAAGGACGCCGAATCCAGCGGGGTCCCGGTCAAGGAGCTCTTCGCGGAACGCACGTCTCCGTTGCAGGTGCTTCTTGCTCAGCTTCACAAGTCTGCTGAACTGGATCTGAACAATCATCCCCTTTTCAACCCAGCCAACCTAAACCAGCGCTTTGACATGAAGTGCAATGCGGATGATTACGACATTCTCAAACAGCCCATCGAGTTGACCGACGAGCATCGCAAAGCATTGATGCGCGGAGAAGCCATCCGTGTTAACTCGGACTCGAACATGCTGAAAGACCGATGCTTGATCAGTCCACGTGGGTGCGTCCTACACCATCTGTCGCCAGAGGAAGAAGAGCGGTACCTCGCGCTTGAGAAGAACATTGCCTGGGCAATTGATACCTTCCAGGAGTACTCGAACGTGCCAATCACGGAACCAGATGTGACCAACCGCGCTGGTGGCTTGGACGCACTGTTTGCTACCCCTGAGAACTTCAACATCTGCTGGGTCGACGAGACCTCGGCTGGCCTCACCTCTGGCTCTCCTACTGCCGGGATGTCCCTCTCTGACGGGAGTGGCTCCACTATTCCCGCGCCTCCCAACGTTCTGTCGGCCATGGAGGCGGACAGCACTCGCAGCCATAACTGGGCCATTGCCAACACCGCCGAGCTGGTCAATGCCACTGCCACCTCTGTGCGATCCTTCGCTGCCGCTACTGCCAAGCACATGCTCGGTGCCGCGGGGGTGGTCATGGGCAACATCCCAGACTTGGACGATGTGGTTGGAATGACCAATGAGGAGCTGCGTTCGTTTGCCGTCAAGTCGCAGAAGGATCTCGAATCGTCTCGCAAGGAGCTAGACACGATCGACAAGAAGCTCAACGCCCTAGTGAAGCGGAACCGCAAGCTTGCACAGCAGGCTCTTGCGACTACCGTTGACGCGTGAACCCCCGTTCTGTCCCTATGACAACTGTATTTTAGTAGATCTCATTTTCAGCATGTTTCCTGCTTTCTTCTTATGCTGGCTTACTACTACCCCTGTATTCTGAACCTGGCTTCTGTTCCTGCTGTATGATGCTTTTCTCCGTTATTAGACTTTACAGGGGAATACTCACGAATCAATGATAATACATTAGACTATACATATCTACAAAATTATGTACTAGTAGTCCTCTCTAAGCACCCTCGTTAGGCCGGAAGACCACCTTCTCTCCCGAAACACCCTCCTTATTCGTCTTCAATGCCTCCTCAACAGCCCCCAGCCCACCCGGCACCACCCGCACACGATTCGGCACAAACAAGCCCTTCGCAATCCACCCATCCTCACCCCCGAGCGCCTTGACCATAGGCTCACTAATATGCCTCAGCTTAGGCGAAGCCCCAATACCCAAAATCGGCCGAATCTCCACCTGATGCTCCCCCTCCTTACCCAACTCCTCCGCCTCCTTCTCCGCACCCAACACCGTAACCACCGCCTTCGCATTCCCCTTACTCTTCTTCGCAATCTCCACACCCAGCACCTGCGTCTCCTTCATCGAAATCGCATCATAAACATAACAAATCGGCACCTCCCCAGCGGCATCCACAAAGTCCTGCGCTTTCGCAACCTTCCGATCCAGCACCACATGCGCCCCCAACCCCTCCAAATGCTCCTTATGCACCACACTCGCATTCGTAATAATCTTCGTGAACCCGCTCAACCTCGCAAACTGAATCGCGTACTGTCCCACACTCGACGCTCCGCCCAGAATAGCAATCGCCTTGCCCTTGCCTGCCTCGGATCCGCCCTCAGCCCAAGGCGCAGGCGTGATCCCGTGCCCCGTGGTATCATACATACCCGTCACAACGGCCACACTGGCTAGACTGATTCCCGCAGCTTGCTCGTCGGAGATGTTCGAGGGGGTTTTGGAGACGAGTTCTGCTGGCATCACGCAGTATTGTTGGAAGGTCGACGCGGCGTAGTTGCCGATTATGCCTTGGAAGAAGACCCGGTCGCCGGGCGTGAAGGTCGAGACGTTGGGGCCTACGGCGGCAATGGTGCCCGAGGCGTCGGAGCCGAGGATCGCTGGGTATTCGGTTAGGAAGAAGTTGTAGTCACGCATTTTCCAGTCGACGGGGTTCACGGCCGTGGCGGTGATTTTTATGAGGACTTGGTTGGTTGAGGGGGTCGGGAGGGGTTTGGTGGTTAGGGTCGTGGGTGATTGGGGGGTGGGCACGGTGGCCGCCAGGTAGGTGGAAGGGAGGGACATATTGGTTGTGATTGTGGTGGTGGTGTAGTTCGTTGGTTGTTGTTGTTGTTGTTGTTGTTGATGGTGGTGGTGGAAGTGGTGTGGTTGGTGGGATGAGAAATAGAGTGCTGACGGGCGTTTGGGCTGATATGAAGATCAGATTATAGCTCGTGAGGGGTAGGGGTATTTTAGTAGTTTTAGAGGATGATGATGTTATATAGGGTTCCAGTGTCTGATTTGTAATGAGGTCATGGACATTAGTCATCGACTCCACTGGGGGTGTTGTTGATCTGGGTGTGCTTTGTTATGCGGTGGATGTTATGGATAGAAGTACAGTGTCATTGAGCTGGTGGCCAAGAGGGAGCTGTAGGGAGTATGAGCATATCTGCATGCCACGAAATGCAAATGTGTCGTGTACTTCTTTTGTAGAACTCAGTGTCATGACTGCTGAATTGCAACATTTATGAGCCGAAGCGTAACCAGCACGTTGGAATGAGGGTTCAATGCATGCAATCATTTTAAACAGCCATTCTAGCAATGCATTTCTAGTACTTTCCATCATGTACGGATCTCTTGCTAAGTGGTGAGTGACGCCTGTGCCGGGGTGTTCTAGTCTTGCGTCGGGATCTACGGCAAGGAGCTGCAGTCAGATAGCATCTTTCCTCTCTTGTTTTGACTTGATCGCATACTTATAAACCATGCATCCCAACCTGGCCAGTACAACAGTAGCATAGTATTAATATCAAACTAAAAGCAATTAACTCAAGGGGGATTGGAATGCCGTTCCACTACTTAGTAGTAGTTGTTGTCTCCAAGTGTGGCCCTAGGTTATGAAGTCAGGGTTACTTAGTACTAGCTGGAAATATATAAAGTACTATTGCGATAGTACTATCACTTCATCCAGATAGTTAGTTATCATGATCTCTATTAGTCAGCTAGTACTATTGCAAAGCCAGCCTGTAGCCCAAGTCCGGAATACTGTATCAGCGAAATCAGTAGAAGAAGGGGTCAATATAATCAACAGGATCGATGATACTGGGATAATGATATGGAATATGAATCGATCTTTGACAAGCTTTCTCGGCCGATTCCTCTCTTGGCAGGTGTGACTTGACGTGGAAGCTTAGCCGGTAACTTAAGTCATATGAAGGAAGTTGGAATATTTTACCGCTAACCTAATCCGGAATGCCTGGCCCTAGGCCCATTTACATCCTTTACCTAAATGAGCTATCCTGTGAACATCGCCCCTTTGAGATGCAGATCGACGTACTCGCAACGTTCCAATAAAATGCATTCCTTTGATACTATGTTGACTTTTGGGAAATGGAATGTGAGGGAGTCGGCTGGGCCAAAGAAACAGAAAATTCGTCTGTCATTGTCTGCTAGTTGCTGATACTTACAAGATGCTTGCTCTTTGATTGTATGTTAAGTTATTTATAAGCTGGAAGCAGTGCTTTATAAAATCGAGAATATCTACTATTATACAGATTACGGCTTCATAACCTAAATCGGTCAACAGTACTGTAGGTTAATGGTGGTTAAGTAGAACTGCATTGATCGACACGGTCGAAATGCCAGTGGATGGAGCACCAGGCAGCCATGACATTCAAGCCTGCAGATGAGAGGTTACATCCACTTAGGCATTACCCATCAGGATATGACAAGTGTAGCAGACAAAATCACGCGGCGCATACTTATTATCATAACACTGGATCTCTTTGATACTTGACACATACAAATACCTACTAGCGAACAGCACTTGGACATCAAATATTCTTAGTTTCCTTGAACATTTATCTTTCGCTCCGAGGAGATCGGTATTCCAGCACATACATACGGCAAGCCACTGAAGATGATGACTGCAACAATCTGCCAATTGCTACAAGTCATACTATATGCTACTGTAGCAGCTAGTTCTTTGAGCAACACGCAAATCCCTCTTGCGAATGGCCTTTCAACTGATATCATCACCGGAGTATACGGAGAAGATCCAGAGATCAGAATTCTGAGCGATGATGGCCAGATCAATTGGAAGCTCAGCGTCAACGACATCCTCGAGGGACAGCCCAATCTAGTACCCTGGCTTAGAGACTGTCTGTCCAATGGAAGTGCGGTCACGGAAATGAAACAGATATCAGATGGGACTAAGATAGCTGCCCTAATTGGCGAGGCAGCAGTGGTCATTAACTACATGCCTGAAAATTCGGAAGAGGATAAAAAGGTCGTTTACGGAGTCTGCGTCAACATTCCGAACCTCAGCAACTGCCATACTTTGGAAGCTCTTCCAGATGATACACTTGCTATTGCCACTAGCGGCCAACGTCAAAGCGATGGCATTTGGTTGTATGATGCCGGAAGGGGCTTAGTTCCTGATGGAAGCCCAGAGCCATTCCAGAAAGTAGGCTGCCATCCAACAATCCACGGGATGGTATGGGATGACGAAAAGGGAATTCTGTGGGCAGCTGGAACCGACAAGGCTGCGGACGGAAGCGATTGCCGTGCTTACGGTCTTCTGAATGGGTACCAGTGGAGTAAGGAACACCACTACCTCGATAAAGACCCGGTTAATAGCTACCGCATGCCAACCACTGCTCAGTGTTTCACCGAGTGGCCAAGCGATAATCCGAATAGCAAGTACTGGGATGGACCGCACGATGTCGCCCCTGTACCTAATGAGCGCAAACTTCTTGTATCAACTGAGTTGGATATTCACGAGTTCGACTTCGATTCCGAGAGGTTCACCGCAGGCGAAGCTGTTGAGGCGACGTACCTGAAAGGATACGTCCCTTTAGGGAACAGAACAGGTACTAATAAGTCTGGCCAGCCAGAGTATCTGCCGCGGTCGGACCTGAAGAGCGTAAGCTTGGCCGAGGATGACCGCGTAGTATACAATCAGGCAATCTGGGCAACTACATTCAGCAGCAGACTGATCAACGTGCTTGAGAATGGGAACCATAGGGGTATTGATGTGGATGGGAGCATTTACAAGGCTCGTTGGCTCGACAGTACTCCTGGATGGAGGAGAGCAGAATGGTCACTGTAAGCATTTGTGGGCTGGCTGGACAATCACTCAGCCGTGAGAATCTGATGTTACCCCGGATTGCTTGGTTTGAAGGCCGAGGAAGGTAATGGCATGGAACCAAGTACCTTAATTAGCACTGAAGCTTCTCAATAGCAACTAAGTATGCTGCAATTCCAGTCTGTATTCACACCCCCTGCATAACTGGACATTGAAGTCACTTGACAACATACGAATCCGGCCTGGTGCCATGCAAATAATGGAGTGAACCGTTATAGCCTGCCAAATAGAAAATCAGTCTGTGCATAAGCAATGTTACCCCCTGATTCGAGGAATTTACTGGTGGCTGGCTGTGGTAGGGGGTATTTTCCGCGGGATTATGGTTGTGTAACGCTAATGTCCAAGCATCACAATGCAACATTCTACTAAGCAGATCTTGTAATACCTACACCAAAGAGTTTCCGATGCAACTCTCCTTGCAATCCAAAATAGACCACCCTGTTGGATTATGTAGTAGTCCATATAAACACTTATATAAAGTCCCTTCCGAGCACCTGGGACTCTCATTTTTAAATCAGTTCTATAACATCCCTATACCAGACCGTCAATCTATTTATTAACCAAAACAAACTCTCGGAATACAAAATGAAGTCCAGTATCCTCTTCATGCTACCAGTCGCCCCTGCCGTGCTTGGGATGGCATGCTCAACTCGCACAAGATATTACTGTGGACACACTCTTCTGACGATGGGTATGTTGCTACACGCATAGCGCCTTTGAGAGATCATTGGGACATCAAGTCTGATATAATGTAGGAGATTGGTTGCCCGATATTGAGACTGCTCTGGCAAATGCCGGCGTTGAACAGACAGAGCATGCTATTGAAGACTCTATATTTACGTGTGTCGACGATTATGCCATAATATACAGTTCAGCATGCACCTACAGCTGTATCGAAACTGGAGCGGGAAGTCCAGACTACTGCGCACCTGGAAGTGACGTCGATTCTAGCAGTTGATCGCAAGAATTGGGACACGAGGGAAAATGGAGAACTTGTTTTCTAGAGTCCCTCGTTTTCTGGATTGGTACCGATTTCTCGGCATGGGTTTTTTCCTATATGCCTGATAGGTTTTCCCTATGTCTTTGTGCAAATGCAGAGAATCGCTGCCAAGTTTAATTGATTATTTGTTTCTATACTTCTTCGTATAAGATGTATCTTCTTAAGTCATCCGTGCCGGCCGCGGCGGTAAGCGCTACGTAAGGTTACTGCACATAAAATTTAACCTAGGGGATCAACTGTGACTGACTATGATACACTGTCACTGCATTGGCCTGATGATACTGCATTTAGAGGTTTACCCTGCGACTAGAATTGGTCAGACAGCCCAGTCAAATGGAGTTTGATTCTGAACCTGACCCTGACTTAAGGCAGGAATACGTAAGGCCATCGGGCCATAGGTTAGACGCTGGAGAATTTGGGTACAGGCCCTATCCACTCACCCGATGGAGCCACCCAGCTATGCAGAGGAAATCTAGGCATGAAGCATCTAGGACGCAGTGAGTGGTTAAAGAACGAATTTCAACGATTGTTTGACCTACGGGCCACGGGTCAATTTGCTATGGCATCTGTTTACATTTACCACGTGTTATGTGTTCCGTTGTGGTAAGGGCTCTTGTTATACGACCAGTGTTGTGTTAACTTTTGCCAAGGGTGGATTAGACATGTGGGATACGGTATTTTGGTTCTTGCTTCAGGCAGTGAAGTACATGCATTGCTATCGTCTTACAAGAAGGATCGAATATAGGCCAAATATTATGAACTATATAAGACTTCTCAAACACCCTCTCTTTACTTCGAAAAAGCTAGAGCCTAACATTTAGCTCCAAGTAGTGTCCGACAAGTCCTTGCGTGCCCTATCACAGTTGGACAATCCAGCATGAGTCTAGCAGAGATCAGCCACTCCTGAAGCCCACAGCGCACCACACTCCCACATTACGATAGCCAGATCCCACATCTCGAGGATCTTCTGATCCTGAGGGTAAGCCAACTGGGCAGCGAGGGTAGCTCCGACATATTCATTCTCAGAGGGTAGGGTATCACCGCCCCTGACGTATGCGAGAACAGGCTTGACGAGAAGGTCAATGACAGCACGAGTCTCCGGCAAGGGATCAGAGGCAATGAGGGCCTCAAGACGGGCTTCGGCGTTGGCAAGGGCACGCTCACCGCGCTCGACCTTGGTGCCATTTGCTCGGAAGTGCTCCAAGGGAGGTCGCTCGTCAGGGACAATCGGAACGATGCCTGCATCGACAGGGAGATCAGTGCGACTGAGGAGAGTGACAGGGCGGTGGCGGCAGTTGGAGAGTTGCCACCAGTGGGTGAAGAGAAGGCAATTAGCTGCTGGGTTGTAGGGGTCGTTCTCCCGGTACCAGATCATAGCGCCTGTTATGCGGGCGTAAACCTCGGCCAAGGGGGCTTCCTCCAGGGATCCTCGTGTCAGCGAAGGGATGATGTTGCTGACTTCACCGCATGCTACATCGGCTCCGAGATCGATCCAGTCGTGTGCGACACAACCCAGACCGGCGATGGCGGCCATGTGCTCGCTACCACCTCCATCATAGTAGACGTGACAGAAGACTGCGTCAGCCAACTTGTACCGGGCCAGGCGGGCAAGATCGTCCCACACAACAATGGTAGGACGATGGGAGTCCTCAATGACGGTCTTCTGGCGCAGACAGGAGTAATTGCAGCCCTTGACGAGGCTGATGTCGGTAATGTGCGGGCCGGCATAGGCGGACTTTTCAGCAGCAGCTGCTGCATCGGCGAAAGCAATAGTGAGTTTGTCTGCCATGGCAGCGCTGTGGACACCAATGGAGTAATCCATGACAAAAGATGCGTTCATGGTTGACCACAAACCAGAGATGGAACCGCCGTAGACACCACGGTTGTAACCACTTGTCATGGCAAACACACTGGTGTTGAGGATGGGGCCCTGGCAGTCCTCCCCGGCGAACAGGTTGACTGCGGTTGGATCAGATGCGACAGCCACACCACTCAGCTTGGGTGCGAGGGGCTTGCGGGCAGAGCACCAGCTGGGCATGTCGACAGGTCGCACCTCGGCAAACTCGACGCGCTCAGGGGTGCCGGTCGCGATCATTCTGTCGCGGGCCTCCAAAAGAGTCGAGGCGTCTGCGAGCAAACCAGCGGCACAATCAACGGCATCTGCAACACGTGCGTTGCGCATCCAAGAGACACTGGAGACAGCAGCCAGAACACCGTCCGTTCGAGGTGTATCCTGGCGGCGTGCCATTTTAACGGTTGTCGTGAGGGTGTCGGTTTCAGCGTCGTATTGCTGAGAGAACTTGCTTGCTTCGGGCTCGGCAGGGCCGATACCGTGAGATTTGAGTGACCAGGCGTGAGCTCCCCTAGGGGAGTCCATGTTCACTCCCTCGGCCGCGACCTGGGCTGTACCCCAGGTAGAGGTAAGCCGGACGGTAGCATCAGGGTCAGTAGCTGAGAGCTCGCCCGTGCGGTCAGCCCAGTGGGAGAAGACAGGAAGATAATCAACAGCAGGCGAGTGACTGAGACCACCGGTGACAACCAGGTCCGGTACCAGGTCAGAAATGGGCTGCTTGGGGTTCCTGACTGGCATACGCTGCTTGATCTCCTCGGACCGTGCGCGGAACTCGTCGATATTGGCCTGGCTCTGGATGGCAGGCTCGCGCAACCGCATGCCCAAGCTAGTGGGCTTAATGGCAACGCTTTAGGTTCCTGGTCTCAAGGGAGAGGTATTGGCAAGGTTGGAGACGAACTCGTTGACATCCCGACAGGACATGCGCTCGAAGAAGAGAGGTTGGTCCTCAGCTCGAGGGTCGACGAGACTACCCTTACGAGCAATGTCGGGGAGGTCATTTGTTCGCGCAATGTATCCCATGTTGGGAAAGGAATGCTTGAGAGATGAAATGGTCCCTTGGCAGCAAGGGTAGGGCAAGGAAAGATGGAAAAAGAGATCACAGAAAAAAGGAAGACGGAGATATTGTCCCCTCAAAGATTAACAAGATAATGACTTTTCTTGAAGCTAGATATCCCTGAGATGTCTGGGTTGATTACTTTCATGGCTACACCGATGGTTGGACTCATTTATAGATTGAAGGAGGCTCGCCAAACACAGGACACAGCCGATTCAACCGTTCAGCCCAGACACGGGCCAGCCTGTGAGCCGTGATTCAAGAGCCGCTTCAGCCAGCCACCAGTACCCTAAGACAAGCAGGTCAAGCATAAGTGTTAACTTTAATTAATGACAGACTTCATGGATCGTTCTGCTGGGGTTATTTCGATTAATCTCTGGTCAACAACAAACCCCATATACTAAACATTGTGCTATTGAATCGCCACTCTACAGAATGAAAAAGAAAAAAAGAAAAAAAAAATGAAATAAATAAATAAATAGATAAATCAAAATAAAAAAAGGAAGATATACCAAAATCATGTCAACATTATCTCCCTACAAGAGATGTATGGGGCACCGCGTGTAACCCTTCTCCACCACGGTGTTTCCGATCGAACAAAATACCTCGGGAACTTCTTCCTTGATTCGGGGAGCTGCATCCAAAAGACTGACAAGTGCATAACTCCATCCGTAATGTGCTGGCATGTTGCAATCACCACCCACTTTGACAGACTGAGCATAGCGCTCCAACACTTGAAACCGCAACGCCACTCTACAGTCTTTGCCCCTCTTCTGCAGGCTGTCATGATTCTATCCCTGATCGCCCCCACAGTCCCTAATACCTAGAACGAAGCCGCCTATAGTGGGTATGAGCAAGTCCTTGTGCTCCACTTATCAGACCACTTAGAAACTTGGATCTCGATTGGAATGTGTCCATAATATTGCCTACTCACCTCGCTGTCTCGTCTGTATTGGCTTTTTGGCACAGCCCCCCTCCCTTCTCATCGCCCTGCAGGGCAAGATTTCCCCACTCCATCCTCCTTGAGTAGATCTGCAGTAATTACAGTTGTCTCTGAAGTGCCCCCCTTCCACACTGCATGGTCCAGGCGCTTCTGCAAATGAAAACTCTGCTGAGCATTGTAGGAGATTATCAAGTCGTCTGTATAGCCTGTCACAGGTGTCTCGTTCACGCCACTCAAAGCTGAAGCTGAAAAAGACCCACCAGCTGAAAAGGAACTAGAAGTTGGGGTATGCAAGCCGTGCAACTCTTTGACATATCACATTTTTTACCCTCTCTCCCTTTTCGGACTTTTTCTGAACATGAATCAGCTTCGTGTTGTGCTCTACACCGGAAATCGGCCAAGGGCTTATCGTAGACAATATCCCCCCTAGCTATCAAACCAGTCGTATGCTTCAGACAAGAAGAAATTCGCCACCTAATCTGACCATTACACAACATTACCTGGCTAGATTCAAGTTGCAACTGATTCTGCGATGATCAAGCCATGTCCTCATACACCCCACCCTTGAAAACGTTGAGGGATATAATCGTGCCAAAACCAGTGGACGGGTTTCAAAACCGCCCTAACCGCAGACCAAGTACGCCCGGTCTCTGTTCTCGGGCGAGATACAAATCAGTCTAGCTCACAACTTTGGTCGTCTTTACGATACACTCGTCCTACTTGCAATCATGTTTTCAGCATACGTATGCTCCTCGGCGTTCTGCTTTCTGGCGCCTACACCAGTCCTTTGCTTTACCGGTCTTTTGATCATCATCCTGATGTCACTCTTTTTTCGATTTGTTCTCAGGACTGAAAAGGTCGAAAACATTCCCAGCGATGCGATAATGAGCCGGCGACGTATTCGCTACGGACACGCCAATCACACTAGCTGGGCTTCATGAGGGGCTTAGGTGGCTACTCACGTATTCCAAATAGTACGTAATTTGCTTCCCTTCAGTAGTATCATTGAGTCTGTTATAGCTGGCAAGTTGAGTGGACTAATTTAGTCCTAGGATATTGACGAACCGCACAAGTCTACGACATCGCTCACCTCTGTTTGTTCAGACCATAGGGGCTTTCCTTAATAGTCACGAAGTTTTATACATCACGATTAAAGGTAGCTGTTGTGTTAGCTCTTGTTTTCTTTATTATACCGTTGTTCAAGTCAAGTCGAAGCGCAATCTTAACATATTCATTCCCAGCCCTTCCTCGTATACACTGCCGAATCGTACACCCTCCTTATCAAATACCCATAGTATCAGCTCGTACTTTTCCACAGTAAGAGTCTATTTCGATTCATTAACATAAGCAAAATTGTATCATACATAAAATCCCAGTACATTATTTCAGCGTAGTCCATTCCAGTTCGTTCATTCAGGTTGGAGGCCTTAACCACGACATGACTTAGATCCACGAATCAGCTTGCAAGGGATGCTACATCCGACAGATAGATCTGCACCACTAGACCACTGGACTGTCAGCCTCTTAAAATCTAATAGTCGCGCCTGTTACACATCTCAATGTAGGGAGCACATTGAGTATAATGCCATCGCTCGCAGTCTGTTGTCAATTCAAGGTTATGTCCGATTGACCCTTCACGCAGCCGCAAGTTTTGTTGGGATTGTGGAACTGTTCTCCGGCTGAACTTCCCTTGTGTGATGGCACTGCATGCATGTGTGATGAATGACGCATGGCAGTGCTGCATAATGCATGTATGTCCCACCACGGTCATTCGTCGGGTTGATGTTAATCAGACTGCGCCACAACACCCCCCCCCACCCCCCAACCTCCGCGGAACCTGTTATCCCTTGCGCGTTGGAAGTTGGGGAGTGTTCGTGGTGATTATATTTAGGTGATCTAATTCATCACTATGAAAAGGAGGTTTCAGAACAAGAACTGTACCTCAGAACTGAGTTTTTTCCATGCTCGGTAAGTCCGAAAAGAATTTTGTCATCTTACTGCAGATAAACTCTATGTAGATTCCTCTCTAAAGGTGTGCTGTAAAGGTTGACGTGCATCTTGACTCAGGTGATGATCGTTAAGGGTCTGACGCCTGACCTTTGTTCGCGAAGTAGCAGATAAAGAAGATGCAAGAATTCTGATTGCTAATGAAAGTCAACTACCAACGGGAAAGGTGTTTCCCCCCTATAATTCAAAATGTATGGTATGGTCTTCATTCGCCTCGCCCGCTGTGAAATATCGCTCCCCGGTGTAGCTAGCAGTAATCAGTAGAATGCAACATTTATCAGCAAAGATATGTGAATTACCTCCAATGAGTGAGCCCCATGACAATGTTTCTGCATCCTTCAATGAAAATATCCGCAACAGCGCGGTGTCTTCCCTTGGCAGTCTGCCGCATATCATCAGCCACTTCATAGAAGCCCTTTGCTGATTCCTGAGCCAGCATGAAGGCCACTTTCATTGCCTGGTTGGCTCTCAGGTTTTCGTTCAGCATGATTATCGGAACGAGGTTCTCGACTTGTCCATCTTCCTATTACACAATGTTAGCTGTTTGTAACACCACATATTGACAGTACCTATATACCGCTTCCTTTCTCATCGAAAACATATCATTTTGCCTGTTGAAGTTTAGCAAAGGACTAATGCGATACTTGTCTGGACTCACGTGTGGACAAGGTACGAGGTATGTTTTCGGAGTAATCTCAAGTTCGTGTCGTCTAGATCTCGCTCCGAGATATCAAAGCCATAGATAAAACCACGCAAATGTCAGCCCCTACTCGACACAAGATTTATGTAGACATACGGAATGGTAGCAATAACAGGATGAACACCAGCCGTGCGATCCCGTCGACACCAGTACTGCTGTAACGAGGGAATTTTATCATCCGAATAGATCGAATCCACGTAATCAACACTCGACACATAGTCTATCATCGCTGCTAACAGAACTTTGCGCGTCACTGGTTTGGTGACAGTCAGTATAAGACGAAAAGCAATTGGGGAGGGGCCCAAAACGTTCTTTTTGAGCACACCTGGCGGACATGTTCTGCTATCTCGTCCCAGCAGTTTAGCGCATTCTGGAGTTCTTCAGAGTAATCAGATAGGTCTGGATACTCTGCTTCATGGCAGAGGACATGCCTGAAATACTCAACACTAGTGTGCTTGAACCTCGTGATAGTCTCTGGGTCGTGGGTAAGAGAACCACAGTCGAATACTTCATAGGTGTTTCAACTCAGTATAGCGCTGGGGCATAGCAGACGGGAATCCATACAATCATCCCATATGAAGTACTTAGATCATCGTCAGTCCAGTGTCGAGCACATTGAAAGGCACACTTGCCCAAGTAAACCACTTCGCCACCGTACAGAGCCTTTCAAAGGAAGACCTTGCGCACATAATCGCCGCAAATGTTGTGAAATCTGCTTCCTGGAGCTTCCGACGAATATCTGGGTTCTTAACAACGCTTTTCTTGGTATAAGTGTGGAATTTACTTGTCCTCAGAATTATGAAGCACCGACGCACCGTTTAATCCACGGATCAGTAGATTCATCTCGAGCTCTCGCATATTCGGGGTGCAACTTGGGAGTCCAGTCCGGGAATAAGGAGTAAAGATTTGGTAGAACAGCACGTTGTCCTTTGAGTGATTGACAAAGCTCTTGGCGTCGCTCCATGGTGAACTGCTTATTCTACTTGACTTAGCATTCGATAGTTGTTTATGCGAAATACGTTTAGTATTTAAAATTCTAAATATTATGCAGGACTACCGATGTTATGTATTTGGAGGTATTAAGGGACCCATACCCAACTACCTACTGCAAAAGTCGCAGCTCTGGTGGGAGTGATAATACATCAGCCAACAGCATTCTTTCCTCAGTATGTACTGATTCTGCTATCTGTATTATTTAGCACATGCCCCTTGAACTTAAGCTTTCAGATCTGCGCTCTGTCTTAGATGAGAGATAAGGTCATGACTGTCCACACCGATCTAAAGCGCGGTTACACAGCGTAAATGCATCTACCCCTTGTTTCCTTGAGCCCGGCGTCCAGCCAATCTAGCTTTGCAGAACGCTCGTATCCTAAGTCACTGGGTTTGAAAATCGTCATCGTTTACAATAGCCGCAGTTCATTTCGGCGTCGTGTGACCGTGAGGCCTTCATACCTTGCAGACCACATCAGAGCGGTCAGGAGTTCGCAACACGTAGCCAAGGGATCACATCGATCGTGACTGCCGTATGAGAGCAATAAATGGGCACAAGATTCAAGACCTGAGTGAAGCCATATCATAACATTCAGAAGTACAACATTCCGTGAAAGTTTATCAACAAAATACTATTTTTGTTCTCCTTATCTTTGCCGATTTCGGTGTATCCCTTACTGTTAACCTTTCTAACGAGCTTCTGACTGAAGCCCAGTATGAGCTCCTCTATACTAGTTCAATGTGCCAAAGACCTCGTTGCCAAGGTCGCCTCTGATTCAAAGTCACAATATGGATTGTCCTCTATGGCACTGCATGGCTCGCTATGGTCGAGAAGAAGAAGGATGAGGGGTACGAATGGGTCTTCCCAACCAGCTTCGAGTACCTCCTCCGAGGACAAACGGATGATGGTGGCTGGGATCCCCTCGAAGGTGTTACCAGAAGACACAGTGAATACCCCGAGAATATCTGGATCCAAGATTGTGTCGTCCATTCGTTGGCTGCCCTACTCGCATTATGTAGACGCGTCCGGCGTTCCTCATCTCATATTAAAGAACCGCTACCCAATGATATCCTGTTCAGACTGTTCCGCGCAAAGTCGTTTCTCGATGCCAAATTGCAGAAATGGCAACCAAACGAAGCCATCCATTTCACGGTTGAACTGATAGTTCCGGTTCTACTGCACCTTCTGAGTGAAGAGGGTGTGGATTTTGAATTTCCTGCAAAGGAGGACTTGCTGAGCAAGTATGCTGCAGCCACTAGCATTGACATTGACTGGCTATATCAGGGACCTTGTAGTATCCCATTGTTTTCGCTGGAAGGGTTCGCGAGGCAGCTTGATTGGAGCAAGCTGGGATGTCTCGTTACTTCTGCATGTATTACCGCCTCCCCGGCTTCTGCCGCTGCGTATTTGATATTTTCTCCTACGTGGAGTGATGAATGTGAGGCGTATCTTCGTCACATTGTGTCGCACGGCCAAGGGAAGGGAAATGGTGGGGTTGGGGGAGTATATCCTTTAGAACTCTTTGAACCTTGCTGGGTAAGTTCCGCCCAAGGAATAATCGGGTCACAGGAGTTGCTACTAAGTCATTTTTATATAGGTCCTGTCAACGTTGCTGGAGTGCGGCTTTACAGTCGACAATCTCACAAAATGTGCAAACTCTGCTCGAATCGATCAGTAAGTCTGTACAGAATGGTGTCACTGGTGTTAGTAGGTGTATCCCAGACCCTTGCCTTACCACTATAGTTAACTAACAGATATGAAAGATCACGCGTTTCTGCCTGACGCAGACGATACCTCACGAGCTTTGTTGGTTCTCAATATTAATGGCTATGAAGTTAGTTTCACAAGTCTCATTGAGCACTTTGAGTGTGATGATTGCTTCCTGACTTTCGATGACCGAATGCCCCAACGGGTGGTCAGCGTGAGTGTCAACGGAAATGTCCTAAACTGCCTGCTGTCTTCGTCCGATCCCAGATCTTCCACATCACAGATAGAGAAAATTGCCAAGTTTATGTGCACAAAATGGAGTAAGGAGAGGATGCTCAATGATCACTGGGTTTGTACTCTGGCATCAGTCCCTGGCAGTTTACCCTACATAATGCTGACTAGTTACACTAGAACTTCTCCGAGTATTACGGTATCATGCACATGGCTCATTCACTGGTTCCGGTCAGTGTCCTTTGAGAGCAGGGAAGTCTGCCTGGTCTCGCAGAAGATATCATCCAAGACCAGATCCCTCAATGTCTGCAAGAGATATTGGACCGTGTGATATGCGGACAGAACGACGATGGCTCCTGGGGCAACATGCACGGGGCCGAGCAGACAGCTTACGCAATCATTGCACTTGCCCAACTAGCGTCGCATGCTGCCATTGTCAGTGACTATAGCAAAGCCGACCTAGCTATTGCTAGGGGAAAGCAATTTCTGTTAGAGACCTGGACCATGGGCCAGAAGCCGGACAGGATCTGGACGGGGAAGGCCATGCATGGCATATCGTATGTGCATGATGCGCATGTGCTTGCTGCTTTGAGAATTAATCGGGCAAATTTGGCTGGAAAGCGAGGTTTCTTCTGAAGAAGTGTGTACAAACCCATCGTGGAAACAAAATCATTCGTTATTAGTACTTGAGGAAGTTGCTGTTTGAAAATGTCCCGGTTCATATCGTACAAAAATCCCATATCGGTTCGAGACACATAAGGCTTCTGCAATTGCTTTTTGAGACTGGCGAGTTTGGTCTAGGCAGGCTTTAGATAAACAAATAAAATTATGCAGCAGACTCTCAACAATCTCACATGCCCATACAAGCCACAAATATGATCCAGTCAATGATTACCGCACCCGTTACTGCAGTTCAGTACAAATAGCCCCCATCCACAGGGTATGTAGACCCCGTCATGAATGGGGCTTCCTGGCTGAGAAGAAAGGCGATCCCCCTCGCTACTTCTTCCGGTTTAGCAAGCCACTGCATATCCGACATCAAATTCTCGGGGATTTGATGCTCTTTGAATGCCTTCTCAGTAAGTGTTCTAAAGACCACCGCACTGGGGAGGTCAGTGAGACACTACAATTGGCAAAAGAGGACAACTTACGGTGCCACGCAATTCACCCTGATATTTTTCGGCGCCAAATGCTGAGCGATTCTCCGCGTCAATCCCACAACTCCATGTTTACTGACTGTCTATGCCAGCCCGACCCCTGCAACAGCTGTTAACCCTACGATACTCGAGACATTCACAATAGATGCGCCCTCAGAAGATGCTTTCCTGGCCTGCGCCTGGACACAATGCATTACCCCCGTCAAATTAGTCCCGATTATATGATCCCATTCTGCAGCGTCGAGAGGATCGCCCGATAATTGCTTTTCAGTGACTCCTGCAACGTTAGCTGCTCCGTATAAAGGACCCAGTTTGTCTGTGCTTTTTTTGATCCACGAGTCGACCTGTGCGGAATCGCGGACATCCAACGCTGTTGTTAGAATGTGTGACTTAGGGCTGTTCTCCGATTCTATAAGTGCCCTTGCTTTTCCAAGTCCTTCGGCGTTGATGTCTGCTAGTGATAGGGCTGCACCACGTTGGGCGAGTAATCGAGCGGCGGCTAGGCCGATCCCAGAGGCTGCGCCCGTTACGGCGACAAGTTTGCCAGCAAAAGACATGATAATAGATCAAAATATACCAGCCGGTAAGAGACTATCTGGCGATACATATGAACATCAAATCTAGCCCTGGCGCCTTTTCTTGTCGGAATTAACTTCCCAATTCTTAATTCCTATTAAAGGATCTTTCGAATTCGTTCCAACTCCTCTCGGCTGGGCGCCTGCTCACAATTTGTGGTGGTCCCCTTCACCCACATTCCGAGCAGCCCCTCGTCGTGACCGGGCCCTCCACAGCTTACCAACTCGCCAAGTGCGTCGTACGTTTAACCCCTTGATGTTGCAGAGAGTAATAGAATTAACAAAAGTAGAAACAAAACATACAACAGAAGGGATTCGCTGGTGGTCACCCACCCAACTACTAACCTCCCGGCGTGTGGCTTAAGTACGGCTGAGCGGACGGGAAGCCCTGTTTTCCACACCCTATGGTCGTATGTACTAGCCCAATATTATATGCAGATAATATAGAACGCATGCAAATATCTAAGTAATGAGGAAAGCCGAGGATCGCCGAGTTTCTTTGGTGTTGTTGGGTTATGGAGAAAGCTTCCATGTCATTAAAGAGTAGGAAGCAATGGAGGGATATCGAAAATAAGCGGGGTGGGCCACAGGGCAAGCAAATAATTCATTGTAGTCTCGTATCGCTTTGGGGTATCTGTCTTGTGTTTCCGGTGTCCGACTCTGAAGCGATGTGGTTCCATCATGGATAAGGGGGCCATACTTCATTTGATCGTCCACATTTAGAAGGCTTTTGCTCCTCGGGATAGCGGATATTATATATAGTATCATTTACATGTCATCTATCAGTGTAGCTCTAATACATTATGGCCATCATAGAATATAGCTACCACGTAACTACTTATTCGGTCCCTCCTCCACGACCCGTAAATCATCCTTCTCCTCCATCTGGTCCTTCTCCTTCAATCCGAATTCCGACTCCAGCGTCGTGCGCAACTCCACTTCCTTCTCTAACCAAGCAATAATGAACCCTAAGCCCGCAAACACGACCGAGATCTGCCACACGCGCTGCATCGCCCCGGTATACGCCTCGATAATCGCCGGCTGCACATCCTTAGGGAACGTAGACACAAAGTCCCCGGATGCCTGCTCGTACGCCCCGCTGGAGTTCAGAATGGATGCGATACGCGGATCTTTATCCAGTCCGGCTTCCGCTACGCGCGAGGCGAACTGATTATTGAAGATCGCAGCGGGGATAGCGACTCCCCACACAGACCCCAAAGAGCGCAGAAAGGCCCAGGTGGCAGTGGAGGCGGCGACATCTGTCTCAGCTAGTTCAGCCTGAGCGGCAGGGAGAGTGGAAGTGATAACGAAGCCGGATCCGATGCCTGCAAGGAGTTGGAAGCCGGTCCAAGCACCCGTGCTGGAGTTTTTGTCGAGGAGACTAAACAGGCCCATGCCAAGGGCCATAAAAACGAAGCCGGCGATTTGGATGGGCTTGTAGCGTCCGGTCTTCGTGAGGACTACGCCTGCGACAATGGCCGCAGGGACTGTGACGATGACGGTGGGGAGGAGTTGCACGCCGGAGCGGATGGGAGAGCTGCTCTTTACGCCTTGGAAGTAGACCGGCAGGAAGTAGATTGTCCAGTAAAGGAGCATGCCGTGGAGGAAGGTGAGGGTGAAGGCCGCCAGGGAGGTCCTATTGGCGAACAGGCGGAGTGGCATAGTGGGTTCGGGGCATAGCTTAGGGGTTGCTTGGATAGCCGGGAAAGCGACCAGAAGGCCGAGCAGGCCGAGGACTAATGGTACAACTACATGCCAGCTTGACCAGGAGTAGGTGGTACCGCCAAAGCTGAGTGCGATCAGGATGGCCACGACCGAAGCGATGAGCAGCCCGTTGCCAAGCCAGTCAATGCGCTTCAGCTTCTGGACCAGTGTGGTGTTCTTCTGATACTTCACCTGGAGGAAGAGAAGCATGAGGCCTATGGCCGCCCCTGCGATTGGCAGACTGATATAGAAAGACCAGCGCCAAGTGACATTCTCGGTGAAAGCGCCTCCGATAAACGGGCCAAGAGACGAGCCCACCGCGAAGACGACGAAGATGAGCGCCATGATCTGCCCCCGCTCGCGCAGCGGTACGAGGTCACAGACAACCTGCAGCGAATCAGAACAGGAGCAAAAAAAGCAAATAAGGGGATGTCAGGCTTCAGGAATCGTACAATATCAACCAGCATGTTGACTCCTCCCAGGCCCACTCCTTGCACAGTGCGTCCGGCAATAAGCATTCCGGAGGATGAAGCGCCCCCGCTGATTCCACTCCCAAGGGCAAAAAAGGCGACGGCGGAAATCAGCGGCCATCGTCGGCCCCAGACATCGGCGAGTTGGCCATAGAGAGGCTGGAAGGCCGTGCTGGAGAGGAAGAATGCATTGACAAACCAGATATACGACTCTCCGGCGTTCAGGTCCCGAGAAATGGTGGGAAGGGCCGTCGAGGTGACAGTGGACTCAACGGCCGTCAGGAGCGAGGTAACGGCGCAGCCCGCAATAATCAGCCAGAAGCGCCAGCCCCTCGAGGAGGAGGATGAGGGTTGTGCTTCCATGGCTGCGGGAGGATGAGGGAAGGATTGGGAGGCGCAGGCAAACCGTGAACCTTTAAAGCGCGCAGGAAGAAGAAGGCTGAACCAGGATGAGTAGAGATGGGAGTTGAGGTTTCAGCTGAAAGGTTGAACGGGAAAGGGGCTCTGAGCTCCGTTTACTCGGTCCAGATTCTGCCTCGATGCGACGTGTGTATTATACCGTCTGGTATGCACTGTTACCATACAGGTTTTATCAGAAGGAGAAAGGCTATCAGTCGATATTAATGTGTTGGTCTGGAAAATGGTGCCAGCGACACTCGCAGGACGCTAACCCTACAGACCCCGGCTGATAGGTGGGGATGCGCAGGGGATGCGAAGGATGACAACTGCCCAATGGGCCAATTGTCCGTTACTCGGGCCATTTACTAGCGTGGAATACGCAGTGAACAAAGAGAATCTCTGGACAATTTCAAAGAATCAACATGGTTCACATTCCTTCGCTTTGGTGAACTGTTGGAACATCTCACCTTCCTACTTCGGACTTCAGTAGCATCGGCATTGCTCTTCCGGTCTAGTAGTTAGTAGTAGTTGGTAGTGCTATGATAGACCAATGGGAATGCACTGAGAACGATCCGAGACAGGCTATCGATAATGCTAATTTATTTACATTTAGTACACGGAGTCCATGAAAATGAAGAGCTCTCTCAAGCGAAATTGCACGATAATCATGGCCGATGCTTATCCCTCCTGCCCTCCTCAAGCTCCAGCGATGGATCAGCAGAGTTCGTCCATGGGCCCGATTCCCCCTCGTCCCAAGAACTGTTAGTCAGCTCAGTCACACTATCGAGGCGCTGCGCATGTCTTTGCCCTTTGCCTTGAGCAACCCGACCGTTCGTCGACATCATATACCCATGTGGTTTGAACGGACGGCGGGATTTAGATACCGTGGTTGATTTCTGGACCACGCGCAGCAACGGCGCTGATGCAGGGATACACGCTGTCACCACACCCCAGCAGAGCTGCACACTGTTCCACATATAACTGTCCGTGTCATCCCAAGACAAATCTCCCCCATTCTCTAGCTTCCATGAATAATAGAAACGCACCGCGGAGATGGCTGTCACGAACGCACCCAACGAAAACGTGAATATCACCGCAGCCTTCTTGCGGCACGGCATCTGGAGATTCCAAAGAACAAATACTGGGACCAAGAGCATAACTACTTCGGAGAACAGATCGAGAAGTAGGGGAACGCCCAAATGCAAGCGCTGGGGCTCGCAGTGTCCGTGCAAGGGCTCCGGGGGTTCAAAGCCGAAGATGGGATATACGCGCAACCAGAACATTTGTGGTGGCACGCAGGCGCAAATAAAGGCGACGGTAGATCCGACACCTAGCCCCGTGCAGAAGACAAAGAGGGCCCAGATGGTGTAGCGTAGAGATCTTATGATGGAGTTGAAGGCGCGCTGGTAGAAGAAGAGGATGGAAAGCTTGTTGAACATGAGGGCTGCGGCTTGCAACACGGTCACCACATAACCCATCTATGTATGAAGAGAATAATTAGTTACATGACTAGACATCCTACCTAGGGCCGCAGCTAGGGAGAGTATGTTTTCAAAACTCACCTCGAAAATGAACGCTGTTCTCTCGGGGGGATGGGGATCCTCCTTCATAACCCAGTACTGCATGAACCCGTCAGCCCTACTCTCTGCTATGTTAGGCCATTTGGTTCTCGGGTATTGCTAACCTCATGACGACCTAGTCCATTCTTCACAGCAGCAATGGTGCAACTGGACACTGCCAGGGCTAGTATGGATGCAAATATGATAAGGATACTATCTGGTGTGAAGAGGCGGCGGATGGTGGCCTGGGCCACGAGGCGGACCACAGTAGCAAGCACACAGAAGAACATGCTAATGATGCATGCTGCCAGAACCTCGGGTCCCCGATTCTCACGGGAATGATTGCTCAGAAGCGCATCCATGGCGCTGGTATTGTTCGCCATACTGGTGGAAAGCAAGTCTCCTGTACAAAGTACACGCCAAAGAATCCTTTGGAGAAAGAAACGTGGTTGTGAGAAACTTTGGGAAATAAAACGACCTCTTTCGAGGTCCTTGATAGATTACCTATCAGCCTTCTTTCCTTCCCCTCATCCCGCTTGAGTAAGACTGCGTCTTACATGCATGCTACTGCATGGGGGCCACCGGCTCGCAACAGGTATGTACCTCTAAGAGAGCAGCAGGCGGCAGAGTCGTGTTGCATGTGGCTGGCCTTCTGCCCCAAGAACCGGTAGGTTTTCGCCCATAACATGCAATATACCCGTGGGGGCTGAATGCGCCGCTTGAGGAATGTGAGGGGTTGTCAGCGACTTCATTGCTTGATGACGTCGGGGCAGGCCCGGAGGGGTTCAGTTCTAGATAGCTGCAATGTTGCAAACTAATGTTCCATTCTCCAATAATGGAAGACGGCCAGATGCATTTGACAGTCCTCTGGGGGAATTAGGAGGCGTGACGAGGACCCGTCAGGATTGCAGGAATACGCAGTAAAGTTGGAGTGTATATAACCCAGCCGAGTTCCGACACTATTGCTGCATCATTAGGTGCCAAAAATTCATCACAATGCCTGCGATACCTACAACGCATAGTGCATTGGTGGTGCAGGGGCCCAACTCCCTCCGATGTGTGACCGACACCCCTGTGCCGTCCCTCGCAGGGGACCAGATCCTGGTGCAGACTAGGGCCGTTGCACTCAACCCGTCTGATTGGAAGATGCTCGACGCAGCAGCGGCCACCCCGGGCGCAATTAGTGGCAGCGACTTTGCTGGAGTCATCGTTGCATGTGGAGAAGCAGTGCAGAACATGTCAATCGGCGAACGTGTCTGCGGCTTTGTCTTTGGGGCCAGTCCTACAAGCCCGAACAATGGTGCCTTTGCAGATTATATCGTCGCTCACCCGAGTCTCTGCTTTCGAGTGCCTCCGACCATGACTTTTGAAGAGGCTGCTTCTGTGGGTATGGGTCTGATGACTGTAGGACTACTCTTTCGTTCGCTTGGCTTGCAGACAGAGATAAGCCTCAACCCTGATTCAACGAACACAAACAAGCCATTTGTCCTCGTATACGGAGGCTCAACAGCGACCGGCACGCTGGCCATTCAGATGCTTCGACTCCATGGCTACCAGCCGATCACGACGTGCTCACCGCGGCATTTCCCGCTCGTAAAGCAGCGGGGGGCCACGGCAGCCTTTGACTACGCCTCACGCACTTGCAAGGAAGACATTCGTGCTTACACGAAGGGTACGCTGGCGTTTGCTATGGACTGTATTGCCGACTCTCATGCCACAACGGTGTGCTATGGCGCTATTGGTGGGGATGGGGGCCGATATTGCGCATTAGACCAATATCCCCCTCGGCTGGAGGGTCGCCGGCAGGATATCCAACCAGAGTGGATTCACAGCGCCACTATTTTTGGGGAGGATGTCCAGCTAGCAGGGTCTTATCATCGCACTGCACGGCCTGAAGATCGCCAATTTGCTATTGAGTGGGTACGTCATTGCACCCACATTTTGGCACGGGGGGAATTGCAGACCCATCCACTGCAAGTGCAGAAAGGGGGTTTGCCGCGAATTGTTGGCGATTTGCCTCTGCTCCGGAGTAAGCAGATTTCGGGCCGCAAATTGGTCTATCCTGTGGGAAGCGCATAGGCGATACGGCGGTAAATACTCCGTCGAAGCACACCAGGGCAGAAGTGGAAGTTCGACCGAAGAATACGAGTGGTCATCAATGTCCAGTAATGTTTGTTGAGCACGTTTCTGTCTTGGCTGGCAAAGAAGGCGCAAAAGAGGTTTTGTGGTTTGCTGTTGGACGACACGCGTGACTGATCAGGGCGGTTTGATTTGTGCCTTAATCTGTTCCTTTAACATTATCACTTATGGTAACTGTTTACTTGGCTTGTGACTGGTTAATTAGATTTTCACAAGGATTCCGCAGAGCGAGAATAGCGAATCATGCCCCGAGCTAAGTGCTAGTGCTTACCTCTTTGGCGGCATCATCGAGCTAGGGCTGCAAGTTCTGGTGGGTTCGTAAGTCTAGGCTTCTGTTAATCACAGAGACATGTCTTCAACGCGCAGTGATGGATCCACTCGGTCTTCTTCTTCCAATTACATTCAATCATCATCCCATGAAGTCTCCATTTGGATGCTGACTGACAGTTCGGCATTAACAAGGGCCCAACTCCGCGTGGTTAAAAGGTGTCTAAAACTCACTAAATTAGCATGATGCATCGTATCAGCGCTAAACCCAAAAGAGGAGCCCAATGAGTGCATTCTTATCACCAACGATGATTCGATTAATTAGTACAGCAGAAGGCGATAGAAAAGGGATAAAATGCATATTAATTCCATTGAGTTATAGACAGGCACCACTTACTCCACACTGATGTATTTTCCGAACAGGATAAGCTGCAACCCCAGGTCCTCACTTTACGCAGCCTATAGCCCAGCTAGTCCCACAAATAGTACAAACCACACACGTATCTTATTGGTGGAGCTAACTACTACAGTAGGTATTTGATGCTATCTTCTCTGTTTCCCTTTTAGATGCGGATGCCCTCGGGAGCCGAAGTGGGCTTGCTATCATGGCCAAGGCTAGTGAGCTCCTCAAATGTACCATAGTCGGCCTCGACCACCTTGCCATCCTCCACGAACACCTCCTCCCACCCCGCAGTCAACTTGGCGCGGGTCTGGTCACAGATCTCGTCCTCGCCAGCCACGAGGCTCTGGAAGTCTGGATCTGTCACAATCGCCTGTGCTGTCTCCGCATTCGGCACGTACACACACACCATGATGTCGTGATCTTCGATCTCCCAGCCTGGACGTACGGCCCAAGGGATCTTCTCAGTGATAAGCCTCTTGCTGGCGCTTGGAGTGTGGTACTGCTCGGAATTTCCTTGGTCAGCTTATCTGCTTCAATAAACATTTTTGGAAAGAGGACCCCGGCGGGGGCTTGGCAATGGGCAGTATAACAAACCTGGCACACTTTGATGGCGCCATGGCGAGCCTGTACGATGGCTGCCTTAGGAGCATGCGACTTGCTGGCGTATTCGTGGAATTCTTTCTCAGAGATCCCCTCCTTCTTGTAGCGGAAGGAGGTCAACTTGAGGACCATTTGCTTCTGGGGAGCCATGATGACGAGGGAAGAAGTAGAGTAATGAAGTGGTTCAACTATGTAGAATGTAATGAAATAGATAGAAGTGTTGTTGATGTTGTCAAAGTAAAGTCGTTGTGAGGGCGTGTTCTCAACGCTATATATAGTTCTGTCCTCTGGTTCACAGCCCCCAAAACAAAGGATAGGGCAGTATCATCCCACCTGAGGGGTTATCTTCCGTTAAGCCACCACTTGGCTCGAAGCAATCATGGTGTGACATTCCAATGTACCCATTTGGAGATTTTGGGGCCAATTCCAGATATGAGCTCCGTGTTGCCTAACCACTGCGTTCACAGCAACGTCGGGGACCTGGTGAGGAACATCAGAGAAATTCCCGATCTTCCTCGTGTTGATCATCGTCACAACTAAAGTCTTACCTATGTCAGTGCTAAAATCTTATATACAGTAGTCTCATCGGTCTCACTGCCTAGATGGTCGAGTGACAGGGTGGGGCTGCATGCCAATACTACGCTCCTTTCAGCTTCTATGTGTATCCGACGAGGCGTAACGGTCCGGGGCAAGGAAAGATGGACATGGTCATAACAGGTACGAAACATGACAGAATGGGGGCTGTAAGGTGTTAGTATGATTGGTCTGAACTAAATATTCGTCTCAGTGGGTCATTATTTCGCTCAGTATACTGCCTCAATCGCCCTGTACTAGCCGCCTGTACGGAGTGCTTGGAGCTATCTCCCCGAATCAGGCTATTAGCGAGGTTAGCCTGGTAGATAATATCAAATTGCACTGCCTACCAATATCGGCGGACAAGTCGGAACATGCCTTGTTGGGGGAGGCTCCACGAATTATCACAGGCGAGCTACGTTGGCTCCGGAGTCCGTCGACACTACAAGGGTAGAATGGGTTCCTCCACATACCCCCGCTTACAGTGTTTAGAAGTGTGAGGGGCTTGGAGTTGTGTAGCCTGCGCGTTTTTGTACATTATCTTTCTCACTGGTTCCAAGTGATTGATTGACTTTGCAACCGGGGACATCATGGCACCAGAAAGAGAGCCTATTGCCATCATTGGGAGCGCATCACGCTTTCCCGGCAACGCTACCAGCCCACAGAAGCTCTGGGATCTTCTCATACATCCCAGAAACGTGGGAAAGGTGATTCCTGGGGACCGATTCTCCGTGGATGGGTTTTGGAACGTAGACGGGTCTCATCATGGCACGTCCAATGTCACACAATCCTACTTCATCGAAGACGACACCCGTCATTTTGATGCGAACTTCTTTAATATCAATCCCAGAGAAGCGGCGGCCATCGATCCTCAGCATCGCCTACTGCTCGAAGTCACCTATGAGGCTCTAGAGAGTGCAGGTCTCTCGATTGACATTCTCCGAGGGACTCCCACAGGGGTGTACGTGGGCCTTATGTGTGCCGATTATCTCGACGTCCAGTTAAGGGATCCGGAGGCCCTCGCGCAGTATCATGCCACAGGTACAGCACGCAGCATTCTGTCCAATCGGGTGTCTTACTTCTACGACTGGAAAGGGCCCTCGGTAACTGTCGACACCGCGTGTTCTTCTAGTCTCGTGGCTGTCCACCAAGCAGTGCAAGCCCTGCGCCAAGGAGAGTGCTCCACGGCTATGGCAGCGGGTGTTAATCTTATTTTTGGTCCTGAGATGTACATTGCCGAGTCGAATCTGCGCATGCTGTCGCCAACAGGCAAGTCCCGCATGTGGGATGCCAGTGCCGATGGGTATGCTCGTGGTGAAGGTGTCGGGGTAGTGATCCTCAAGAGGCTCGGTGATGCCCTCCGCGACGGGGATCCCATTGAGTCTGTGATCCGGGAAACGGCAGTGAATTCAGATGGACGTACGAACGGACTTACCATGCCATCCTCGGCCAGTCAGGCTGATTTGATTCGTCAGACCTACCGACGTGCTGGACTTGACCCTACCCAGGCATCTGATCGGTATGTTACACACTCATCACTTGTCTCCCATTTGCTGATTTATCCTGTCCAGGTGCCAGTACTTTGAGGCTCACGGAACGGGGACGCCCGTCGGCGACCCCCTTGAAGCCGAGGCCATCCATTCAGCGTTCTTCCCCGAACCCAATGATGGCTGTCAGGTGCAAGAGAGCCAGCTGTATGTGGGGTCCATTAAGACAGTTGTCGGCCACACAGAGGGGGCTGCTGGAATTGCAGGCTTGCTCAAGGCATCCTTGGCCCTGCAGCATGAGATCATCCCACCGAACCTACATTTCAAGCGGCTAAATCCCAACATTGTACCCTTCTATGACGGTCTTCATGTCCCCACCAAACCGATTCCATGGCCACCGGCGCGGGTTCGCCGTGCTTCAGTTAACAGCTTCGGTTTTGGGGGAACTAATGCACACTGTGTAAGCCACCATATCTCTTCCGATGATCTGGGCGCTAATGCCAATAACAGATTCTCGAACACTATGCACCTTCCGTTCATGGGGGGGCAAAAGAAGGCTCCGAAAAACCAGTGAATGAGCCGGCGGTTGAAAGCCCGCTTATTAGCTTGCCATTCTCCGCCTCATCCCATTCGTCCTTGGCCCGCTTAATACAGCAATATGCTGGCTTCATCGCCACCCACCCCTCAGTCGACATGCAAGCAGTATCCTTGGCGCTACAGAAACGCTCGAATCTCCCTTTCAAGCACTATGTGACTGGTCTTTCCCACAACTCAATTCTACAGCAGTTGCAAGACCCTCAGTGGAAGCCGGGGCCTTCCGGTGGAGGTGCTGAGGCCCACAATTCTGCGATCCTCGGAGTCTTTACGGGTCAGGGGGCGCAATGGCCCACCATGGGTCGTGAGCTGCTGCTTCGGCCCGGTCCGTTCACGGTGACCATTGATCGCCTCGATGATATACTCCAGCAGCTGCCAGAGCCTCCTACATGGTCTTTACGGCAAGAGATCCTCGCTGCTCCGGACACATCTAGGTGTCAGCAGTCAACGTATGCCCAGCCACTGACTACCGCTGTTCAAGTAGCCCTCGTCGACCTGCTCTACAGTGTTGGCATTCGCTTCTCCGTGGTGGTTGGACATAGCAGTGGTGAAATAGGTGCCGTAAGTTGGTCCACTGCCATCGTGACAATCCCAGATCCAATCTGACTTAACCGCCTTGTAGGCCTACGCAGCAGGCTGCATCACGGCGGAAGCTGCTATTACAATTGCCTACTATCGCGGCCTCTACTCACCGCGTGCAGACCCTGGGGAGGGCGGGCCTAAGCGGTCAATGATGGCCGTGGGGATGGGATTTAATGAAGCCACCCGCTTCTGCACCCAACCTGAGTATGCTGGGAAGATTTTTCCGGCTGCGAGCAACGCGCCCTCCTCGACCACGCTGGCGGGAGACTTGTTCACTTTGGAGGTTGCCAAAGACGAGTTAACCCGCCAACAGAAGTTCGCTCGCATACTTCGGGTCGATAAGGCCTACCATTCGCCTTTCATGGAGCCGTGTGCAGAGCCTTACATGCAAGCTCTCCAGGCGCGCAACTTTGCATACCGCACCTCTGGCCCGT